AGTTGAAGTCCACAAATCTCAAAAGGGACCGTGTTTAAAGCGACCCCTGGGCCTGGGTGGGTCGAGAAAGACAGGTCAGGAGATGCTCGGCTGGCCGCCACTAAAGGGAACTTTCGGATTTGTGCTCGACGTGAATTTTCATGGGGGAATCAGCCGTCTCGGCGAAAAACACATCAATTTGGAGGGGATATTTTTTTGGTGGTGGTGGGGGAACAGGAGGTTTTTCTCCTGTGGCCCCGGGGTCCTTTATACATACACATTTGATGGGAGAAAGGAAGAGACCCTCGATTCTCCGGGTTCGCCAATGATTTCCGTCTTTTACGAGCCAGAAAGGAAAATCGGCGGGTTGTCAACGCCGTTGAAGATTACGCCGAGATGGGAAACACCTCCCAACATCTTACAAGGCCTGGACTCTTAATCCCGGCCTTACTTCACTCTCCAGCGGCCAGATAGACATCCGTTGGTCAGCCCTGCCACCGAGACGCTCCCACGACCCACAACGCACAATCCCAGCACCGGCAATGAGACATGTATACAAAACCAGAACGGCGACAAAAAGAAAGGGGAAAAAATAAAAAAAAATAAACATACACAAAAAAAACAACCCCCATGATTCCTGCTTAAAAATTCAAGCTTCCATTTTTTATATATATATATATATTGTTTTCTGAAGTGCAAACCACATTCGAGGCTTGCTTTATATATATCTGCCTAAATTTTGTGGCGTGTCACAGAATCTAATTAAATCCAATCCTCCCCCTGTTTTTGCTTCTGTTTCGCTATCGGGCCAACAAACCAAAATGGAAAAAAAAATCCATTTGAGTCTTTTTTTTTCTTTCGTTCTTTCTTTCTCTCTCTCTCTCTCCGCAAATATATAGATATATATATATACATATTTGTTTTTCTCTTACAAAAATAAATTCAATTTTAGGAATTTTTTTTAATAAAAACAATAAACAACAATAAATTTCTCTCCGTAGAAGATGGTTTCAACGTGTAAACATATTTCTTTCTTTCTTTTTTTTATAGATATATAGATATATAATTTTTTTTCTTTTAAATTAAGATAAAGTGATTTTTAAAGTACCCGTTCCATGTCAAAGTGCTAAGACTTCTTTGTTTCTAATCTTTTTTTTGTGTGTTTTTATTGCTTTTTATTTTTTGTATTAAATAAAACATCCATCTTTTTCCACCCAAGTCTGCGTTTTTTATATATATATATATAAATCCTCTTCATACACACGCTCTCCTATTTAATTACATTCGGCCAAACGGTTCACCTTTTTTTTTTTTTTTAATATACATTTATATTAAAAAGGAAATCTAAAAAGTGCTTGCCAAAAAAAAAAAAAAACAAGGAAAGAAAGAACAAAAAGAAAAAGAAAATAAGACTTAAAATTCTTCTCTCTTTATATATATCTATATATATATTTATCATTTTTAAACTGTGCATTTTTAAAAAACTCGGAAATGGTTAAAAGGTGCCCTCAGTTTATTTATCTATTTTTAGCTTAAAGGGAGCGGTGTCTTTAATAAATCCCTCTTCTTCTTCTTCTTTTTTGATACAGCTACTGCTTTATCTACACAACTGCTTCTACCGACATTAGAGGATAATAGGAAGAAATTTGGTAAATCACCCCAAAGCCAACTTTGGACCTCCAAACCTTACCGCTATCCAAATGGACACCCTTAAGTGCGAATCTGGTTACCTAAGGCTCCCAGAACAAGGGAACATATAAAAAAAGGAAGAGACATAATTGGAGGAAGAAGGGGTGAGGGGAATGAGCTATTTTTCCTTCCCTGAATTAACTAGGGTTTAATTTGTGCCAGGAACACATCATTTTTCTTACAAAGCCCTCAAAAGAACAAATATTTCCCCGTTTGGGGTAAAATGGGATAGACAGAAGGTGTTTAGCAAAAGCTGAAGGCAGAGAAGATGAAGGGGAGAATTTGGTACGTCTGAAGGATTTGGTCAAACCTCTGAAGTTTGGGAGGGTCTCGAATCGTTTCCCCCTCCCCCCTCCGAGGTCTGGGATGCTGACTGATTCCTTGAATCAGTTCAAGGACCGCCTTCCAACGTACAACAAGATTGGGATATTTGTACCCACCCCTGTGGGGAGCGTGCATCAGAGTGGGGAGGAATATCGGACGAGTTCGACGCGTGGCTCATGCAATTGAGCCAAGCTGCGAGAACTCTTCCGCAGATCTCGGTGGGCAACCAAAACGATGCTCTTTGCGGACGGGGAAAAAGAAATCTCATACTGCAACTTTCAGTACCACATATACACGGCTTCGCTTGCTCAACCCGGGGAGGAGGGGAACAAAGAACGAGATTTTAACGAGCAATTTTAAAATCCTCGCTTCGGAAGCATTAAGCACCAAAGATCTCGAGAGGCTTAACTAGTTTTTTTTTGGGGGGGGGGCAGGAAAAGAGGTCCACACTTGAAACGGATAGAAATCGTCCCAGAAAGAAAACTTAAATGAACTATCTGGAATTGGTAAGCCAAGATGTAGCCTTGTTTCCACGCCACAGTCTTTGCATCGATCTTGGGAATCGTGGCTTGTTATAACTGTTGAGAGCATGGTGGTTTGTTTGATCTCATCTAACACTACGCGGGACTTCGGATTGTAAGAAACTCGGGACACCAAATTGGGTTTTCCTTACTCCACAGGCCAACATCTTCCTGTCCCAGAACCGGACGTTTGATAGCCGTGCCCAATAAATGCTGAAACCCCTTTTTCTACAAAACACCGAAAGTTCAAAGAATTTCGGCGTTTGGTGCCCTTCACCAAACTTTTAAAAAGGGGCCCAAAATTCTCTGCCGACAACCTTTAAGAGCTGTGATTTGACTTAAGATGAAAAATTCTTCAAGAAGCTTTGTAGAAAAAAATGAGGATTTTAGAAGAGGGGAGGAGGGAAAGGGGGGGGGTGATCGGGAAGAAACGGGGATATATATATTTTTTTTCCTAGTAAAGCTTCCTCTTTTTTTTTCTTTTTAAGTCAGCCAATTTACTGACCCCTTTGGAACGGTGGCTTCTAAAATACCTAAAAATAAGGCCATTATAATATATATGTATGTATATATATATATAGTTTTAAAACTTAAAAACTAAGACAAATTCTGGAAGCTTTGTTTCACGGTTTTGCAGACCTCTACTCGCTCTACCCCCGTTAAGCCCCGCCCCCCTCTTTCCCCCCCCCCCCCTTCTAAAATCCTCATTTTTTTCTACAAAGATTCTTGAAGAATTTTTCATCTTAAGTCAAATCACAGCTCTTAAAGGTTGTCGGCAGAGAATTTTGGGCCCCTTTTTAAAAGTTTGGTGAAGGGCACCAAACGCCGAAATTCTTTGAACTTTCGGTGTTTTGTAGAAAAAAATGAGGA